AGATCACAGGTTAACTTTGGACAAGTCATAGTTAACTGCTATAGTCACATTCTTCATAAGAACTACATTATTCCACAGTAAAAACAACAAAACACCTTTATTGGCAGTATAAACAGCATATTTTATGCTGACTTAATCCCTACAGCCAACTTTATATGAATATAGTGTGAGCTTTTGGTTATACATTATAGAAATTAAATTCAAACCTGCTTAAGCAGGAGGATGTTCACTCTTTCACAAGTTGAGAAATCCAGGGGCAGATTGTCAGACCTAGTGGGCCCCAGGAGTTCATTTCTCCAGCCCTTAGCTGTTTCTTCCTGTTGGCATTCTCAAGCAAGATCTAGCTGGTGACAGAGCATGACCATGGGACCTATGAGGCTGGAGGGGGAGAGGGAAGAATCCCCTGCAAGGAAATACAAATTCTGTTGCCAGAAGAAAACAGGGTTAGGTTGACAAAGCCCACAGTTCTTTGTATGGTTATGCCCATTTTAAAGACTTTCTAGATGTGGCACTTCTGACTCATGGGCGACCGTCTTGACAGGTGGTGTTTGTCTGGATTCTGTGACTTCAGTAGCATGTGGCAATGATACTATGCCAATCTCCCAGTTCAGTGCCTAAAAAATAAGTTCCTAAAAAATAATTATTGTGTCTTGGGACCCAATCACTATGCTGTGAAGAAATCCAGGCTGCATGCAGAGGCCATCAGACACGAATGTGGAAGCCTTCAATTTGACACCAGCCCAGCTACCATCTCACTGGGAATCAAATAAGAACTGCAAAGCCCAGCACCATGAGGAATAATCATCAAGAATTCTTATAACCTGTTAAGTTTTGGAGTGGCTTGTTATATATCAAATAACCAAAACACAAATTGACATTCAGGTTAGGTTAGCTCACTCCACTTTGAGGGCAGGCACTGGGTGAAGAGTACAGACTTTGTATTGAGCTGAGTTCCTAACTGGACTATTGTATGAACTGAGGTAAGTCACTTAATCTTTGAGCCTCATTTTCCTTACATGAAAAACATCCTTATTATGAGATGCTTAATAAATGAGAACATTTGTTTTTAACTGCATCCAATTTGGGTGGTTTTTCTCTTAAAAAATAATTTGGTTTTTTTTTTTTCCTATTTTTTATATTCACCTTGTTCCAAAATAAATTTCAGGCAACTCACAAGAGAAAATCTTTAGAGTACTATAAAAAATGCAGCAATGGAAGATAACAGCAGTAAGTCCACTTTTTGGTGTTCTGAGATCTAAGTCACTCAAGTGCCACTCAGGTCATGCCCTCTTTGGAACAGTAAGTCCCCTTCCTCTCACCTTTCAAACCCCACTGCTAGTGTCTCTTACACCTTCTGTCCAATTTAATGTCCAGTGCCCTGGCCACGCAGGGAACTTGGTGCTTCAGGTCAGGTTCTGGCTCATTCATTCTTGCCCAATAGTATAGTCAACATCTACCCTAATTAGATTTTACTGCAGCATTTGATGAAGGGAACAGGGGGAAAGGTAGGTGTGTGTGTGTGTGTGTGTGTGTGGAGAGCATGTGTGCATGCACTTCCTGCATACTCTGCAAAATTCTGCATCACAGATTGCATGATCCTCATTTAATCCTCAGAGCAGTTTCCCAGAGCTGGATGCTTACTCCACGCTACACATTGAGGGAACACACTGGGTGTGTTGTCCAAAGCCAACCTCTTCACTTTGAAGACGTAGAGGTGTAGGATGCAGCCCAGGGAGCATCTTCCCAGCTCCCTGTCAAAACAGCTGATGCCTCTCCTGATGCTGTCTTCTGGCTTTCTTCTCTGCACAGTTTGGTTCCTTTGCTAACTCGTCCTCTTTGCTAGCCCTCTCCAGGCAGCTCCCTGCCTTCACAACCCCCCACCTCCACCAGACGCAGATGCCTAGTATCTACACTTGACTTGCCTCAAGGACAGCTCTGCCCTGCCCAACTTCCACTGTTTTTCTTAATGAATCCTCCATTTGAGAAAATAACCTGACACCTGATGCCCATGTCTCCTTATCTCCCATCTTTACAAGGTACATCTAGCCCTAACCCATTTTTTCATTTCATTGCCATAGGTAAATCTCAGTCTCTCTTGTTTGGATATTTGCAGTAGCCTCCTAGTCTCGTGTTGCTTGCTTCTTATCAGTCTGCTCTTAACCATCAGGTGCTCACTGCATGGCATTTGTTTCTCTCTAGCTTAATACCTCTCCTCCCTCAATCTGTCCCCTGGTCTCAACCCACACGTAGTAATTGTGGGAAGACCCATCTATCCTTTACATATGCTGTTGCCTCTATGTGGGATGTTGCCTTTTACTGGCTAAACCTCATTATCCTCTAGCTCAGCTCAGAAGTTACTTTCTCAAACACCTTGCTGGACTGAGTTACCGCACTGGGTCCTCCTGTGTGTACCTTGTGTCACAGGTCTTAGCAGATTATATTTAGCACTGGTGTGTACTTCTGTCATTTCCTCTAGGCTGAGTTCCTAGATAATATGACACTTGTCACTGAGAGGCTTTGATACAAAGTACAGGCTTTGGCACTTGAATGCCTGGGATTGCATCTTGGCTCCTCACTCCTTAAGTCTGTTTCCTCTTTTGTAAAATCGAGATAATAGTAAGCCTGCCTCTAAGGATTGCTGTACTGATGTATATGCTGAGTGTGTACATATGTACATAAACATGCACAACTGGAATGGGGCCTGGCATATAGTAGGGACTTGGCGATGCTATCCATGTGCATGTGATTATTTAATAGCCCAGAGTCTCGGCCATATGAGAGACATTCGTCCTATTACACTGGTATATCTGGGGCTAAAAAATGGAGCAGTGATAGTTTTCATTATCTTCATGATACTGAAGCTTTTGTGCAGTATTATTTGGATTTGGCCAGCTTTCTGTGTAAAATTTTAGCTTTAATTTGGTTCCTGGCTCCCTGTGCAACTTGTTGGTGTCCTGAGACCAGTTCTTAACTGAGGGGTCGGGGAGGGTTGTACAGGTTTCCCCACGTGGACAAGCATTCTCAGTCACCAGCAGGGTGTCCAAGAACTCAATTACGACATGATATACCCAGAAATAGTGTCGGGTTCTACTAGTTAAGAGATCATTCTCCCAAGTCTGCCCTTCACTTCAGAAGCTTGTCGCAGGCCCCAGGCAGCTTGTAGGCTGCCATTAGGCCTTGACTGACTGCCTATAAACTGATGTTCTCAAGAACCCCCTCTTAAGACTTCTGGTGCCATAAAAGCCCAGATTGTCTGTGCTTCTGACAGGCTACAAATTACAGGTTCCTTATTCCTCAGATGTCCTCAGGTCTGATTAACACACTGAACCCAGGAAACCTGTTTACTCACTAGATTGTCGATTTATTACAAAGGATGCTGAAAGAAGGTCATCAACAGCCAGATGGAAGAGATGCATCAGGCAAGGTAAGGGGAAGTCTCCCCTTTTGGGATTTTATGGAGGCTTCATTAATTAACCAGTTAACAACAAGAGATACCTTTATCACTTGCTAAACAGGATATCCCAAGGGGAACTGGGTCAGGAATTGTGGCAAAAGACCAAATGTGTAGGAGAGGTACCTACCAAAATAATTATTTCCTATGCCACAATACTGCATTCATGAAACTGAGCTTAAATTAACAGACAATAATTAGAAGACTTCAGAAATACCTTACTAGATGAGGACTGAAAGGGCAGGAGCCATGGCTGCCAAAGGACACCGAGAAAGAGGCATTAGATCTTTTCTTTTCTCAAGAACAGTATGGTGAACATGACAACTCCAAGGACTTGTCTTTATTCCAAATGCTTGGGGGTTGTTGCCCCAATAACATGTTTGGCAGGGTTAAGCAAGATAACTACAAGACAAGCACCATCGCCACAAGTCTTTAGCAAGGTCAATAAATCCATCACCACACCTGGCAGGGTCAACTGGTACCACCTTTTCGGAAAATGGGTACACTTACAAACATTACCCTATTAAACCTTCTGCCCACTCACTATCCCTGGAAATGCAGCCAAAGTATCCCAAAGATGCTCTGGTTTCCCTTAGTTCTTAGCATTGCCACGGCAAAGGATCTGGAGGGGAGGCCACGTTGAAACCAGGGCGGCACATTCCAGGATTATCAGCCCAATGTTTTTCTTGCATAACCTTACTCTGCAAGGTTGTGATTTTCTTTTTGTTTGGGAGGGAGGGGGAAGAGTGGGAGCATTTTCTATATTCTTTACAAAGAGACTCAACTATAACACAACTCATAGGCACTGCTTTCTTTTGGGAATAGGAGTACTTGAGCAAACCCTGCTGTCAGCTCTCAGTGTTATGGTGATCTCTTAGTGCTGTGCTCTAACGGCTGTGCCACCAGGGAGGGCCCATATGGTGACCTCTTAAGTGTGGGAGTGAGTAGGATGGCATCTTAAGGGAAAAAATTTTAAGCTTTTCTATAGAGGTGGGAATCAGACATGTAGTCAAGCATTTTCTAGACTGGATTACAAGTAGCTCCATGTTTATGTCCTGATGAATATGTACATCCAAGAAATTTCTCAGGAATTTGTAGAATCCTGAACACAGTTCCTAAAAAATGTTGCTTCTCTTACAAGCAGAATATGGCTTTTGATCATTACCTTCTGACCAAAGGATACCCAATTAAGGGTTTTCTTATTGTGGTGATTATAAGACAGACACTTCAATTGCTTTATGTCACTCCCAGCTAATCTGAGGTTGCTATGTAGTAGTAGAGACATGATGCTACTGTGTATGGTTTAAGCTAGGACAACCCATCATTTTGAATGGGTTCAATATAATCCATTCAATTTTACCAGGGGAAACCTGGCTTGGTCAGGGTCAGTCCAGAGAATCTGTTTTGAGAATGGAATTAAAAACTAGGCTGAAATTACCACTATAATTACCACCAACCTGTCACCAAACTGTGGAATACCACATCTTCCCCTAAGGGTCCCCCTAAATGAACAAAACACACATTACATACAAGAGCAGTGGCGTGCTAATTACACAAGAGGCATGATCCTTGCTTTATTCACACCATTAACATCCAACATTGGAAATTGTGTGGGTATAGGTACAAAAGGGGGTCAAGATGGCATTATAAACAGTAGTTGAGTTCATCGGGGACAGCCTTGGCAGCTTAGCCAGTGTGTAGTCCCCTCAGGGTCTATTAAGGGAATGCTCTGCTTTCTCCAGTGCCAAAGTGCTTTACAACACTTTAAGGGTCACAGTGATTAAAAAATAGAAATGTACTTGTGATAGGCCTCTTTCAAACCCAAAACACAAGCTGGGAAGGAAAACTTCCTTTAGTATGGTGGCTTAGATTCTAATAAGAGTTATCTGCACTGCACATAGCACATCACCTAACCTAAAGATGCCCAGTTAGGCGCTTTCTTAGTGTACTAATTTTCGAGACACGCTTAGTGGCCAATAAAGAAAGTTCTAAGGAGGGAGGGTACATAGCACCATGTATTCCCTCACGTGGTAACAGCTGGAGTACTTGGCAGTAAGGTAGTGGCAATGATCTTCACCATAATGAAAATAATTCAAAGCCATATAATTGTTCCTTAAGACACTGAAAACAGGCTGTGTCACAGTTCTTGCTCTAATCACCTTCCCATGTGAAGCTGTTTCTACTTTATGTACAGCTCTAAAGAAGTGGAGTAGAAAAATGGCTGGCTAGTGTTAAGTGCCTGCCATGTCCAGTTTCTCAGAACAAAGGTACAGAGTCTTGCCAGGCACAAGCTGTTGTATTGAATTCATCAAGCACAATTTTTATAGAAAAGAAAACTGAAGAACAAATCAAATAGAATCACTGTTATAATAACTTTAATTTATCTTGCATTTTACAGAAGTCTATGAACGATTTTAAAAAAGCACCTCCTTACCCCATCAAGTTTCTGACAGTTGTTAAAGTAGGTAATGAGTATGCCAACAGCTTGAGCATCCACATCTTGCAAGGATTTCAGATCAACCAGCCACATGCCAAGGAACTTGGCAGCATTTCTATCTTGTTTTTAATACAATGGTATTTCCACTCTGATGGTAAACCTGTCCAGCCAAATCTCCACAACACACTTTGAAAAATCAGTGGTGATTAGCAAATTAGTTAGCTTTGGCACGGAGCTGTGCTCGCTTGCCGGTGACAGCCTGGAAGCCGGTTTTGATGCTGGCAACAGAGCATCGAGAATGACAAGTTTCGCACTGTAAGAAATAGAGTCGGGTGTCCTTTTGCAGAATTGTGTCTGGTGATCGGCATGTGTGACAGGTGACATATTCCTCTGCAGAAGAATAATACACAGAATTACTTGGTGGCCACTATGATCCAGGTTTCTTCCCTCTGAAATACATCTTCTATCTGAACTCCAGAAATACATGCTGGCAGCCACATCAGAAAACTTCAGTAACCTTAACTATTCTAGGGTAAGAAAACACAAGCTGTCTGCTATGGTGCTTCAAATACTAGAACATGGGTCACAGTAAGACTCTACATGTCTAAAGAAGCAAGAATGCTTGCCAGATGCCCCATCATAGGTCTGTCCAGTAGAGTCACTCAGGAAACTTACTGGCTTCCTAGGTGGAAACAGACCTGCCATTCTGACTTCAATCAGGAACTAACAGGTAGCCTTAGGAAATCCAAATCTTTCACCTTGTTGCCCTAATCACCTGCAAAAGCCAATTTCCTAGGATTCTCCCTGATATTTTAAGGTCAATTTTTCCAGACGCCTTACAAACTAATGGCTCTCCTCAAAATATTGCAGTCTAATGAGAATATCTCAGTGATAGGCTGAAATTAAATAATATACTTACTGATATATCTTCGCAAAACATTTTCTATTTGTTTCTGTTGGAATCTTCCTTTGATTACCAGCTGATTATTACCGTCTATAGAACCACTATAAAAGAAAATGAAAAAATTTCACTATTGACTTTTCCTGTAAGGACTATCACATTTGCTGATTGAAGATATATTCAATGGCATAGGAACAATAATGGTACCCTACCTGGTTTCTCAAAAGTTTTTAACAAAATAAAATAGGATAAATCCACTTATATTTATTGGTTTTTCAGTTAAGTTTAAAACCTTGAAGGGTACAGCACCCACTTGCATTCTGTGCCATCTGTGGCCTTAGCTGGAAGGTACCATCAGGAACCATGGCAGAAGATACCTTTTCCCAGATTACTGATTTTATTTGCTTTGCCACTAGGAGTCACTGTTACTCTCCTGTACATAACCACATTCCTTGCGGGATAGAATTCAATTTCATCTCAAGCATAAACAATTTTAAGAACTGTATGCTCCCTCTGGTTTCAGAAACCCCACCTGTAGACAGCAAAAATGGCCTTGGATCATAGCCTGCCAGCCATATTTCAGAAGTTCCATCAGGCACAATTATTAAGCCTTATAAGAATGCAAACTATGGAGGCAGACCTGAGTTTTCATTTGACTATGCTAGTAACTTGCTATGCGACCAACTTCAATTTCACATCACTGAACCCGTTTGCAAATCTATAAAAAAAAGGTATTAAGGTGCTTAGCATAGTGCTAGCATATAAAAGGTATTCAATGTTATTATGATGGCCTAAGCTTATATAACTTTATTTATGCATACAAGAGCTGGGTGTAGGCTAGAGCATGGAGGAGGGGAGGTGGGGTTTAGAGGGTTCACCAGGAACAGAATGGGGAACAGGGGGATTGACTGAAATACACTGCTAAGGGGAGCAGCAGGCAAGAAAGGAGAGGTCTGCTGCCCCGCCATGCAGGCCAAATCCCTGGCCTGGGACTGTGCTGCAGTGACTGCTGATAGCTTGACAGTACTGATACTTACCTCTTGTGCCACCAGGGAGGCCCTACATAGCTTATTTTTAAGGAGTCATTCAGCTACTTAGCACTTATGGAAAGTGTTGGGGTGGGTTCTATGGGTTCCTTGCCCTCCCTGAAGGGATGGGGTTGACTAGGTGCATGCAACGGGTGAGCCCCAAGACAAGTAACTAACTACTTAATCATCAACCTGTTACAATGTTTCTCCTGTGCCACTCATCAATTTCTAAACTATTTCTTCAACAGCCTGGTAATGATTTAGAAATAAATTCTACCCTAAGAAAATGGCTTCCTCTGGAATTTAGTATTTGCTCAATAAAAAGACTCAAGACTTCTAAAGTGACAGGTTCCCAAACAGCCAAGCTACCCCATTGAAATGAAGTGATTTCTATTCTTTAGGCTAAGAGTCCCTTTGTTACATAACCCATCCAAGTAGTACTATCTACAACTGAATATAACTTATTTCTCACCTTGTACCCAATTCAGCCAATAAAAATGCAAGGAGATGTTTGGGCTGACGATGTAATCTGAAAAGAAAATGGAATATAGAAAATTTTTTTATGGAAATCTAACCAAACTTAAACAAAACAAACCTGCTCACTATTTTAATCTTTGCTTACTCAGCTATTAGGTAAACTTAATTAAGTACACCCTTCAAACTTTGAAGAGTATACACAATTTACAATTCAAAGCCCATAAAACAGTGCTGTTATTTATAAATGTCTAAATATGGACAGGAAAGGTAAAAATAAATGTTTCTCTGGGAAGGTGGAAGAGGTCAGGAATAGATGTAAAGATGGTCTTAATTCTAACTGTAAAATCTGAAGCAAATGTTTTTAAAAAGTCAAATTACAATAATCCTTGCATATTTCCTGGTAAATTAATCTCAATGTTTCGTGTTTGAGATTCTTAACTATAAGAAAAATTAGGCAATATGGAAACATTCCTTCCATGGTAGCACAAGAGCAGAAAAATTGAAAACAGCTTAAATATTCAACTGTTGAGTGGTTTAATAAATTATGGCATACCCATTCTATCTTGCTTTTAAAATAAGACAGGTCGCAATTACTTAAAAGATAAAATTATATTTACACACCTAAAATTAATTTTACTCACCTAGTTTGAACTTATTCCAATAAGTAAATACTAACTACGATAGATTTTAAAGTTATTTTTCCCCAGATGTAGAAACAGGTAAGTTCCTACATTACAGTCAGAATATAAACGGGTACAAGCTTACTGGAAAGCAGTCTGCCAACTGATACCACAAGTCCATTCTGTACACGTTTGTCCAAAGGCTGTTTGTTTACTGCCAACATACAAAGGGTGACCCTCCTTCAACCTAACCCTGACACCTGCACATTCTATTGATAATTCTCCCTGTAGTAAAGTCTACAATAAGGATATTTAATATATACTCCACTGAGAATCTAGTGTTTGGGGTGGAAACACTCCAATAACCAACTTACAGTTTACAGATATCTGTAAAGTTGACAAAAGAAGTTTTCTTGGTTCCTACTCGGACAACCTGTGGAGGTTTCATAACAAATTTCCTTTTCTCTCCAGCAACCATATCTGGATTCTTTTCCCTCATGATGTTGAACACTCGATTCAATAGCTGTAAAGATAAAGTGGCATGCATGTACTGTTACTAACAGGAGCATAAAGTTCTCCTGTAAGCTGTAAGCAGAGCAAACTTCACTTTTGATTAAACAAACACATGCTTCACTACATGTTCTGGGAGCTCCTTGAGGGCAGGACTTAGTCTTCAACCAGGATCTGGCCTATTATAGATGCTCAGCAATTCTTTGTTCAAAGTTAATGAATTTACCCCTAATAATTCTCCTGTATCTATGGGAAAGTATATGTTACAGAGAAAAGCCCAGGAAAACCTTGGTTCCCAATCAGCCACTCCCTCTTCTCACTGCCCTCCCCCATCTCACTCTCCCAACCCAATTCCAGGTGGCTGCATGTTCTCAGATTCAGATGAGAACGGAGAGTAGTATGATGACTGTTACACACTCGGCAAGGTGGCTGGTATATGCAGGCACAAGGCAACATGCACTGGTAGTGTGACATCTGTTTCACTATCAATCTGTTATTTTAATGGCTTTCCCTGTTCAGGAAATACTTTGCTTTTCTTTTAGAAAAGAAGTTCTAGAGCTTCTAGAATTCTATTGAACTAATCCCACTTTCATAACAAAATTTGTCTTACCTCTTCATATGTGTAGTCTCTTTCTGAGCCTGCCCAAGCAGGGCCTGTCTGGTTACTGAATGAGATACCATCATCTTTTTTGCTGTCTTCATCTTCTAAAGCTATAGATAATAGACAGGGATGCTATTACAACTTCCATTAACAACCCTCAGTGAAGGACAGTCTACCATTTTAATTAAACATCCACATCTATAAAACCCAATCTGTGCTCTAAAGACCTTACAGCACTTAGAAATTAATAAAATACCACTTTTAACAAAAATATTACAAATATTTTATGATTTAAAAAACTCAGTCACACAATAATTTCCTCCAATAGCTTCAATTAGCATACTGTCATCGAAAGTGCCTATTCTTCCCCCAAGAAATATTTAACTGTCATTTTCAGGTTAGATACTACTTCCTTCTAGGGGCATCCCTGGTGGTGCAAGGGGTAAAGTCACATTGCTATCAAGCTACCACCAGCCACTGTAATGAGTTCAGTCCCTGACCAAGAAGCTAGCTGACCCACATGGTACAGCAGACCTCTCCTGGCTCATCCACAGCTCCTCACAGCAGTGTATTTTAATCTACCTGTTCTGCTCCCCACTCTATCTCTGGTGAATCCTCTCACCTGCCTCCACCTCACACCTCTGGCCTACACCAGAGTTCTCCAATGCATAAATAAAATTTAAAAAATAAATACTATTTCCTTTTAGCTTTCATTATTGGGTAGTGGAATTAAGGGGAATGGAAAAATGAAAAGTGAGTCCTCCAACCCCATCAAAAAGACTAACCTAACTTGAGTAACCCAACTTGAACTGCTTGAGGATCCAACATTACCTTCATCTTTCTCTAGAATTTCATCCTCGTCTGGGAACTTGACATTCTTCCTTTTCTTCTTTTTATTGCCAAGCATTATGTCAAGGTCATCCTCTGGTTCAGCTGGTTCTTGGATATCACTTTCAATCTTAAGATCCTAAGAAATTGAGATGAGTCTCAATATTGTGACACTACGACTAAATTTTTTTTGAATGAAATGGCTGACATCACTTGAGGAAAAAAATATTCCAAATTGAAGTTGTAGATAAGAAATGTCCATTCTAGATAGCCAAACAGGTTAAGAGATTCTGTCATTTAAATCGAAAACTCTTCTTCAAGACACTTTTGTGTAATCTCTCTCTTTTACCCACCAGTCTGGGGCGGGGGGTCTTATAATAATCATTGTCTCTGTTTCTAAACTGACAAAGGTCACTCGGGAAACTTTCAAATTCTTAAAACTAATTGACAATTCTGCAAGAACAGAGTTGAAGAGTAACTTTTAAAAGTTTGTAAGTACTCTGATGCAGTTAGTGGAAGGCCTTTTCCTGACACCTACGTATGTGATGTTTTTCCACACTAATTCTCCAACACTAACTAGATCACCTACAATTTAATTGAATTCTATCCAGACTTAGTCAGTCAGATTCCACAGGTTTAAGGGTTCAGTCCCACAAGACTGTCCTCACTTCAGAGGCTTGTCACAAGATAGGGTCCCTAAGATACATACAACCCTACCTTTTCCCTAGGTTCAATGTTAGAGGAACTCACACAAGAATGTACCTTACTTCACTATTACCGGTTTCTTACACAAAATATAACTCAGAAACAGACCAAAAGAAGAAATGCATTGAGTCAGTTGGGTTGGGAGAAGGGGACAGGTGCAGGGTTTTCATGCGCTCTACAAGTTCACATCTCCCAACACCCTCATTGGCTCACCAATCTAGCTCTCCAAACCCCATTTTTTCAGGGTTTTTATGGAAGTTTCACTATAAAGGGATGACTGAGTAAATCACTGGCCATTGGTGATTACACTTAATTAAATCTCCAGCTGCTTTCCTGTATGCCAGAAACCTGGGACAAAGGTCAAATATTTTTTTTATCATACCACAGTCATTCTGACACCACACTTTTTAGTGGTCTTTGGGCATCACTTTAATAAGATGACATTACACAAGAGAGGAAAGGCAGAACCCATGGAAAATTATGGTCATCTGATAAATGGATAGAGTCAAGGTAAAGCCTGACTCCAAGATTAGTTGCTATAACTGTGGATGTAGAGGACATACAACAGCCTAGAAAATAGTCATAAATTCCCCCCAAAAGCAGTCAGTCTCTAGCTTATCCAGCTCACCATGAACTGTGCTATCAACATTACCCATCATTATCTATTTTTGTGTACTCAATTCTGAACTGTGACAATCACTAGTTTCAAAAATCCTATCAGCAAAAAGCTGGAAGAGCTGAAAGTAAATGAAACTCAGTTTCGAAATCCCAAATCCAGATGTAGTCTTTTATGTCTACGTGACCATCACAAACCAACTGTCCATGTGTATTAGCTATTTAACATACAAATTTAACTACTCTTTTTAACCTAGAATACATCAGGAAACTGACGTGAATAAAAATTAGCGCTCAACAGCCAGCTTCTATGCCTACACTTTACTTATTTCATCCCAGTAAGATCTACTTCCAAAATGAGGCTAAGGCCCAGTAAAAGGCAAAGAACACTACAAAGTATTTTTCAAAAGTCCTATTAGGATCTGAAAATGCAAATGGGAGACTAATTCAATATCTTAAACCACTTCAAGTTTAAGTCAGCATCTATGCAGCTGCCTAGTGATGAGGGTACTTTTAACATCCTATGTTACAACGTCAATATACACTTTAAGATAGAGCTTAAATGCAACTCTTCAGGACAAAAGCTACCAGAAGAATTGGCCAACAAACCCTGACTAACCAAGACTTTGCTTGGCACAGCTCTCATTACTCGGGATATTTAAATCTACTTATTCAGTATAACCTAAGCATTTCTTCTTCTCAATTTCCCTGTAACAGTACAAAGAGAAGAAAATCCCCAAACAGGGAGAGAACAAGATAGAAATCCAGGTAAAATCATCTTGCTCCAAAGAAGACTAATTTATCCCTCAACTAAATAAGATGGGCAAACTGTCTCACTCATTTTCAGGTAACTCTAGCAATTAGCTATCTGACTCACTGTAATTGTCAATACATTATTTGCTAATTAGTCATCAAAATTGTTACAAATTGTTTTCAAAATTCAGTGCAACTCCACCTGCATTTCTTGTGACATGCAGGATACACATTGCCTGATTTTGAGCAAACAAATCATTTACCAAAGAAAAATCTAGGTAGAAGTGCAACATGGGACACTTAGTGCATGATGTGTGCTCACTCTTGTGCTCTATGTATACATAAAATTGCCATTACTCTGCATTTTCTAAATAGAGGTATGTGTAGGTTCTACACAAGATTCTTAGACAGGTTTTCTAAAAAAATTTTTTGAGTTATTTGAGTTGGAAATTAATCCAGTAGTAAGACAACCACAAGGTCTCAAGTCCTCACAAGGTCAGAGAACTTGAGAAAACTAGTGAGTGCTCTGGTTTTCCTATGGCCCATAAAACCATCAGCTACCAATCACTTTTGATGCTCAGAGGCACACATGTAAATTTACGTATCTTCAACGCTAGCAAAAGCTTAACAAGAGAAACTATAGAAATAGTTACTTTGGCCACATAAATATCTTCCGTTGGCCAATGTCTATAGTTAAAAATAAGAGGGCCCTCCCTGGTAGTGCAAGGGGTTAAGTGTCAGCACTGTGAAGAGATCCGCAGTCACTGCAGCACTAGTTTGAGGGAGCTGACCCACATGGCACAGCAGACCTCTCCTGTCCTACCCACTGCTCCCCTCAGCAGTGTGTTTCAGTCAATCTGGGAGAACCCCATTCTGTCTCTGGTGAATCCTCTCACCCCTGCACCTCTGGCCTGTACCCCAGTTCTTGTATGCATGCATAAATAAATCTTTGTAAGAGACATTTAGTAATTATCTTAATGGCATACAATATTCAAAGTATACCTAGATTTACATTCATTTGAAGCATAGCCTTTAAGATAGCTAGACACAGTTCCAAGAAGATAACCTTTGACAGTGGTAATTAAGTAAAGTATAGCTAGTAGATGAGACTATGAGGGAGAAACATCACCCATTAGCAATCTTTCAATAGGTCAAATTTTACCTTCAATAAGAAAGCAATACTACCTTTACACCTTCTTCAGCTTCATCAATATCAAATATCTTTTTTGTTTTTTTCTTCTTTTTCTTCTGATTAAAGAAGTTCAAGTCATCGAGATCATCAGAAGCATCTAAAAAGAAAATTGAGATTATTAACAAACTGTTAACAATTACCTGCAACTTTCTAGAAGCAACTAATTTGGGGTCAAGCTTTAAATTAATAACTATTAAACAGAAAGCAAAGCATAAAATTATGATTTACACTGATATGTCTCAACTACTAACTAAATCATTACAATAGAGACTGAGCACTAATTAGTATAGTGGCCCCTCCATAACCACATTATACTTCTGAAAAAGTAGCAACTTAAAGCTTTTTTGAATGAAAAATCTGGTCAGGGGAACATAGGGGACCACACCATACCTCAATGTTCTTAAAACAAAGTCAGGGCTCTAACACAATTCCAAGAGTCTCTAGCTTTATCTCCTCACTTCTGCCTACCCTTTTACAGTCCTTGGTTCCAGCCCTAATTACTACTACTTATCATTGTGTTTGGTCTCTCACCTACACACCTTCCTACAGCCTTCTCATATACCTCTTACCTCCACCTCACAGGGCCTTTGTTAGATGCAACTTCCACCAAGTTTTCTCTAAGTCAATTTCCCCCATTTGGTGCCTACTAGTAACTTCCTGAGTCCAGCAGAGTCCCATTTCTTTCTGCCTACACTCAAATACAGCCACCATTCAAATCAGAAAAGAGACCAGACAAATTAGACTAGAAATTCAGCTCTAGGATGATGAAATTTTTGTCATCTTTGAAACTTATGATTTCAGTGGGCATTTCCATAGAATACATCTATCAGAAATTATGCACGGTCCAGTGTACAGATTGCTGATGGCCTCTAAGTCAATGGGACATCCTTATTAGGCGCGTGGTCACCATATGCACAAAATGCAAGCACCAACAGAAGAGAACAGTTTCCCATGACAACAGTAAGTCTTCTGTGTTTACCACTTACCTTTTTTCCTACTGTCCTCTTCATCGGCCTCTACATCTTTGTCCTCAGTTGGCTCTGGCTCCACTTCTTTTGTTTCTGAAGGCTGAGTTTCTTCTGTCTGAGCATCTCCTTCCTCATCTAACATAAAAGGCTTCTTCTTCTTCTTTTTCTTCTTGCTCATAGTAGGATCAAAAATCATCTGTTTAAAATAAGAGAAAGAAATCAAGTGACTGTTTTTAATGATTCTCATTTTCAAATATGCTGTTTCTTCAAGTGGCATACATTATTAAAGAATATGTTTAATTTGTAGATTACCACAAGACACACAAGCTTCACTTTTAGCTTCACCAGCAAATCTGGAGACTTCATGAATGATGGAATTCTGAGAAAGTAACCTTAGCAATAACCTATGTTACACTCCTCATTTTATAGTTGAGAAAAACAATGCATAGGTAGGCTATATGTGTTTAAGGTTGGCCTACTGGACTTGCTACACCAAGAGAGTTACCTGACCTTTAAAAAATTTCATCCTATGTGGAGAAAAAGGAACTCTCCTGCATTGCTGGTGGGAATGCAAACTAGTACAACCACTATGGAAAACTGTCTGAAGGTTCCTCAAACTGCTAAACATGGAGCTTCCCTA